ACGTGGGCGGCCAACATCTGTTGGGGGTCGTCCTCGGATGGATCTAAGTGGCCGCCGTTGCCGCCGGTATCTATTCGGGCCGGAGCTAAACTGCAAAACGTGGAGGCGTCGGAATGGATTAGCGATCACCTTCCCAAAAAGGGCATTGCTGCACTCGACCCGAGCATGTGGTACAAGCTCCAATAGAGACGTGGAGAAACACGGTCTTATGGAACTTGGCAGGCATAAGTACCGGACTTACAGACAAGCTTCCGGTTTTGGGCCAAGGTTATCGTACGTGCCTGCAATACGACATTGTTAGATGCCGCCCTTCGAGGTCCATGCCATCTCTTCATAAGGGACTCTCCCCCCCCCCCCCCACCCGACTTGACCTGACATTTAGCTTCCTTGCGCCGGCCGCGGACCACGACCATGGGTCGAGACCTAACAACACGTTTTTGTTCCTTGTCCAGCTTTGGGCCGTCGTAATTCACGAAGATGCTCATGATGGAGGTCCGAAATTCCTCGAGCAACAAATGATTTAGTAAAGTTCAGGGATAACGGGAGATAAGGACAGCAAGAAGCCTAGGTTGTGTCGAGAAACTAGTGTCGAAACGGCGTCGGGTTTGATGCCAAAATCCGACTCTCACTGGGAAATCTTGAGAAGTTGCTGGTGGTGAGGTTAGCCGCGAGTGTAACACGAGACTATGGGGGAAAAGAAATCAATGACCATGGCGGTCCCTCCATCCCGTCTCTGTTGAGGCTCGGTTGGGCGTCAGACTCAGCTCCCGCTTCTTCTCACGCTAGCTGGGGCCTAGCGGAGACTGTCACGATGTGATTGGAGTCGAGCGTTTGCCTTTTCGGGAATGGCGTCAAAACTACCTCTCGCTTCCCTTGGCGCCGAGGCGCCTAGATTGGGTTTCTTCCCCGAGGTCCACATCGAGACGGCAGGTATCCCGAAAGAGATGATGCTATGCTGGGGTAAGAACACTATCCTTGTCAGTTGTGACAGGTACTTCGTAGTCACCAAGACTTCAGGGTTCGCACAACTCCAAGGCGTGCAATATCACTACGTGTCGATGAAGAAACATCAATAGTTATACCTAAAACAGCACGAAACCAAGTCGAGACGGTCGAGGTTACCCCCTATGGTAAGGTTGTGGAAGCGCTGCCATGGCTGACGGCGGTGAGTGGACATTGATGAGACACACAGCCACTCTTCCACGGCCCGTCCCTTAGGTTGGGCCCGAACCCGAATCGTGAACCGCTATTCGTTGGGCCTTCAAAATCGGCGATCGGACTCACCCCGTGTTATCAATCCTCCTTTTATTCGTTTCTTCCTCGTTTTCTTTTCTTTTTTCTTCTTTTTTTCCCCGAAATTCCCAAACCCATATCACCGAGGCGACGAAAACGTTCCTCCGCCCCTGACACACTTCGTGTTTCTCATGGTCAGTATTTAGATTCTCTGTACGACCGAAGTATTATTGTTAAGGTGGGTAACTAAGCACAAGGCTACCTAATAATACAACCTGGAAGGTCGGGCTATAAATGCGAGCGAAGAACGTTGTCGGTCGACGGCTAATTGCCCAATTAAACACATGTAACTAGCGAGCCCTGTAACTTCTGTCTTCTTTCTTTTTTTTTTCTCTCTTTCTGTTGTTCCGTCGCTCGGTATTCTTGTGCAACGGCGACAACTCATGACCAACGTGGATGGCAAGAGATTCGCCCAATGGCGGTTAATGAAACACATGACCAACTGCCGTGAGGCCTACAAAGTTGTTGCCGCTAATAGAAACTGGTAACTACCTCATGGGCCGCGCCCAAATGTTGTTGCCTCGAGCCTTCCCAAGTTTTTCAGCATCAAAGCTTTCGTTCTTCCCTGATCTAACCAGGCAGCCCATCTACCGTAACGCCGCCACTTTACCCGAATCACAACCAAACGCAACATCCGTTTCAATACACACTGTCATAGAACCGGTGGTTTCCAGACCAAGAGAAATGGACAAGGCAAAGAAAGCCGCTCAGGCTGCAGCCAAAGCCGCCAACCATCCGGCAACGGCCGCCGCCATGAACGAAGCAATCAACACGGCCAAATCCGGCGCCCGACATGTACGTACGGTTCGGTTCGGTGTCTGGTTGAGAGAAACGCGCAATGCAACCAAGCTCTGACTATTACCATTAAAATACAACAGGTGGCGAAGTATGCCTCCGCGCATCCCTACGTAACCGGCGCCGTCGTTGCTGGTACGACCATCGCTTGTGCCCCGGCTCTAGTAACGACACCTTTCCTCGCCGTTTCTGGATTCGGTGCCGGTGGCGTTGGTTTCAGTGAGTATTATCTGTTTAACTAGTTATTTCAGTTATCTTTCTTTCCGCTCGCTCGGCCCCTTGTCCTCGTCGACTCTAACTAACAATTAACCTCCGTGAAACAGATACAGTCGCCGCCGCCGCTCATAGTACGATTGGAAACGTGGCCGGCGGAAGTTTGTTCGCCACTCTGCAAAGCGCTGGCGCTGGTGGCGCGGGTGCTGTTGCGGTCAATGCGGCTGCCTCAGCGGGCGGCGCTGCTATGGCGGGTGTTGCCGTTGGTGGGCGGCTTTGTAGGTCTTTTCTGAAGCGTGCGAAGTTGTGATAAAACGGAGAGCAAACACTCAGACAATGTGAGAATATATGGCTAGCTAGGCTTTAGAGTTGGTGGCCATCATGATTGGTGCTGCCGCCGACTGAATGCGACAAGTCCGAGATGTGTAAGAGTGCGACCTCTGAAGTCTGCCACTTGTAGCTATCCCGATTCGAAACCGCAGGATTTTGGCTTGGCTCGAAGGACGAATCGGATACTTTGGAGAGTAAAAAAGGCTAATTCTTTTGCTGGGATCTGGTTGTGACATCATTATATGCCTTGATCGAACTTATTAGCTGACACGGAAACTTCTCGGGCACATAATGATTAGGGGCCCAGGGTGATACAGCTTGGGGTAGATGATCGATGATGCCTCTTAAATGGCCATATATGAGCGCTCCATGTGATTCAGCTTTCGGTACCATCTTCCTACACTTCTCAATCCTGTCAAGATCCCGTCCAGTACTCAGAATATCACCACTTTCCACTTAGCCCAACATGACTGCCGCCACTCGCGCAGCCGAGCTTCACAAGTTCTTCAACAATTTCAAGTTACTCGGCAATAATGCTTTGGAGGGGATATTCTTCGAGAACGCTCGCCGCGTCAGCACGCCTCTTGCCACCATTATGCTAAGCCAGATGGGTTTGACTGAAGCCACCGAGACCCCTTTCAAAGTCTTCGAGAACGCTTGCGGCGTGGGCGTCGTTGCGCCTATCCTGCAACACATCACGAAGCCCGACGTGCTGAAGAAGAGCAGTATTTTATGTGGGGACTTCTCGGAGCAGTTCACTGAGCTGGCAAAGAGGACGGTTGGGAAACTGGAGGGTTGGGAGAAAACCGAGGCGAGACGGGTTGATGCCCAGGTGCGCGGGTTCTATTATTGTCACAATCTGCGACGCAGCGCGCTAACAAGGGACAGAAAACTGGTCTTGAAGACGGCGCCTTCACTCACGTCGCAACAAACATCGGATTTCACGTCGTCCCCGATTCTGAGGCTGCCCTAGACGGTAAGACACAACCAAAAATAGGCTGGGCATCAATGAACCAAGGCTGACAGTCGCAGAGGCAATCCGTATCTTGCAACCGGGGGGTGTCCTCGGCTTTACCACTTGGCACCTGGAGGCCGGTTGGATCACTCTGATGAGGGAAGCCTTCAACACGTTTCCGTTTGAAGCGCCGCTGGTGATGCCGATGCAAGTTACCCGCTGGGGTAGTTGGTATGATGTGAACTGGATCCGCAAAACCCTCGAGAAGAAAGGTCTAGAGGACGTGAAGGTGAACGTGACCGCATTCCTCACTCACGTGGACGGCGTCGACGCCTTCATCAAACACTTCGACATGATGCTCGATGTAGTCATGGCGGGTAGTTGGTCTGAGGAGCTAAGAAAAGAGCACCCGAAGGAAGAGGTGAAGAAATTGATGAAGGAGTATCTCGAGAAGAGATTTGGGGGCGACGGGTGGGATCTCAGCTGGGTTGCTGCTATCGCGACTGCCCGGGTGCCATCCGGTGCGCGGGGTTGAAGGGTTGGTGAGGGAATCATTACAAGATGAGAAGTTGGTATGGTTTTTGTGAAATTGCTTAGTTAGCCCACCGCAGTAGGCGCAACTGCTGAAAAATAAAGGCCCCACAAATTCTGAGCAGTGACATTCAAAGAGATTCGGGCTGCAACACGCATTGGGCACACCACATTCTTTTCCTTCGTTCCCCTCTTCATTCGTGCAGACCACGTGACGGGATTCGCATCTTCTTCAGCCCCTCGGGCAGGCGCGCTTGAAAGTCAGATTTGTGGACAGTTCCAGGGCTTTTTTTTTTCATTTTGTCCCTATTTCTGCTACTACCGCTTACCACCACAATTCGTGCCATCAACCTTCCTCGGGGCAGAAAACGCGTATCGACCACACCGAAAATTGCGAAACCGCCAACAATTTAGCAAACACAGTGCGCACACCCACCAAGCAAACCGACCAACCCAAACCAAGCAGTTCATTGTTCGATCGAGGGGTCGGTCGAAGTCTCCCCGAAATCGAGGGCAGCACAGAGCGATGGCCGACCTGGGGGCTCACCGCACAACCAGCTCACAACCATCCTGAATGCAGCTCACTATCCATCGATCGCCGTCTCGGGCGCATTGAAGCAACCTTGCAAATACCCAACTTCAACAACGCGAACCCCGCTGTCGCGGTTCCTCTCGCGTCTCCCTCCCCCGCCAACCCCGCGACCACAGCTCAGGCGGGGCATATCGCTCCCGCCCCACAACCACCGCCGCCACCAGCATTAGCCACTGGGCATGGGCACGGGCACGGACATGGGCATCACCAACACCAACATCAACACCAACAACATGGTCAACACCCTGCGACCGCCGTAATAATCCTCAACAACCATGCCAACAACCCTTCCCCTGGCAACCCCTCCTCCAATCCCAACCTGCCCACACCCCACCTATCCAACCCCCTAACTCAACACAAACACTCACCTAACACGAACACCAACCTAAGCTAACCCCACTTTCACCCTCCTTGGAACCACCCCCGCAGGGGTACACCATCTCCTCCCGCGCCGCCATGCAGGACGAGCTGGACCAATGGACGCTGCCGCGCGGGTATAGTATGCGAATCGCCGGCGCGAAGGTAACGGGCAAGCGCAAGGTGCGGTGGGTGTGTTTCCGGGGCGGCGAGGCCCGGCACCACCGGGCGCCCGTGGACGAGGCGGTGGTGCGACAGGCCAAGGCGGAAGGGCGGCGCAAGCCGACGACGGACCGCGCCAGCAAGAAGTGCGGCTGCCTGTTCAAGTTCGAGGTCATCGAAACGGTCAAGGACAGCGACGTTTGGGTGCTGCACTACCCCAACGAGGAGCATAAGGTGCATAATCATGGGCCGTCGGACACCACGAGTGACCCCCGCGCCCGGAAGCTGCCGGCCTACATGTCGGCCGAGGTAGATCGGTGGCTGCGGGACGGGTGGCTTGTGAGTAAAATCCAGGAGGAGCTGCGCGGGAGGGGGTTTACAAATGTGTTGAATACCGATCTGTACAATCGGAAGCGGTTGTTGAAAAAAGAGGGCGGCCCCGGAGAGGAGGGGGGGTAAAAGATTGGTGGTATCACCGCGCGGCTGCATGTGAAACGACAGGACGCGATAATGGAATGAAATTCATCAACAATCAACCGAGCGATGGAGTGATACCCGCCTAGCGACTTTGAAAACATCTGAGGAGATAAAGCCAACCGCGACCCGGTGCATATTCATCTTCCAAGCCCACCATACTTCCATCTGATGATTTCCAAACCAATCTCACAGAAAACACCGACCCGCCTTTAGACACACGACAAAAGAAAGCCACCGTTTAAATGTTGCCCATCGGCGTCCATATTCACCTCCAAGCCCCAACTCGCTTCGATCTCTTCCCCGTAGGTCTCCAAAACAGCATCGTCGAGAGCACCCACACGTCTTTTCGACCCAGCAAGTTTCTCGCCTACATACTGGCCTCTACCCCGTAAAACCTGCGCCCGCCGAGCTAAACAATGATTCAACTAGTCAGCAAGGACATTTTGCATGGTAACCAAGCCAATACTTGCCAGACACCCGATCAACTTTGCCCTCTTCCAGGCGAAGCTCGCCGATGATGAAACTTTGATGTCTCCGCAACTCGTTCGCAAGCTTAGGATCACGGACCTCCTTGCCCAACCAGAGCCGGAGCTCCTACTCTAGCTCACCCCTCCCCCGAACATCACCATGGCTGCGGCGAAGTCAGATGTCAGCATACGGTTCACGACAAGTGTAACAGCAGCACCTAAACCACGTACAAGTGACATCATAAACCATCTGCTTCTTCGAGCCCTCCTTCTCCGCAACCGCCACCCAAACCCGCCAGTTCGTGTCCCTAGCGCCAAAACTATTTTGGCGCTCCGTCTTGCTGGGGAAGTGGTTGCGCCGGCTGAACTCGACGGGTGTGATGAGCCGTCGGGTGCTGCTGACCAGCTTTGCGCAGACGAGGTTGTCCCGCTTGAGGAGCTCAAGAAGAGCAGGTGGCGGGTCTTCCGTCTTTAGGAGATGCGTGGCGTCGGTGCCCGTGTATGGCGTGAGTTGGTGGAAGAGACTCACATCATCTATCTTCAAACCTAGTTACACGCCAGTAAGGAATGCGATTCAAGGCCAGGGGCGGCGCTGGCAGGGAGATTGAATGATGCGGATGACTGACTTGAGAAGTCATGTACGCGGCCCAGTAGCACCACTTCTTCGTTTTCTAGGTGGCTTATATTAGTGATCTCGTCGATCATGAGCCCAACAACCAGGTCAGCGTGCTTCCTCGACGTCTGAACCCAGTCAGAGTGGGCGTCGATAAACTCACTGGTGGCGTCACGTCCAGCGTATGCATAGAGGATTTGCGCGCCACCGGGGTGGGAGTGGAGGTAGCCTGCGAAGGTCAGTCAACTCGCATCCCCCTGGAGTAACAAAGGCCGCTTCAAACTCACGGCCAAGGTCAAACACGTCGCCGTCGATTGCACAGTACATCCCAATCTGTGGATATATGTGTCTGCCAAGCTCACTGAAGGTGAATGTCCGGCGGCGGGATGGGGGAGTGGCTGGCATTTTGCCTGAGGAACCCGCATTTGTACGGCCCCAACCACGGGAAGAGGTTATTCGCATCCAAGCTATGCAGTGCATCCCCCGCAGCCGTCTTCCTAGACGCTACAGCGATGAGCGCTTCCTTTTCAGCCTCGGAGTCAAAAGGAAAATCTAGACGACAATTAGAGGCCGGGTTCAAAGCATTTGGAAAGGGTAGACAGACCGGTAATATCATAAACCATATTTCCAATGACATACCATAGGTCACGGCCATCTCGTCCATCGTGCTCAGCCACCACTTTGGGATGTTTCCAGGTTAAAAGCCTGCCGAGCAGCCTATCACCGTTGGCACCAAGAGCTAACTCCCGAGAAATGATCACACGCCCTAACTCTGTCGTTTCGAAGGTTGACTCGTAATCGAGGTCGGGGTTCTCCTCCAGAAACGCTGCATTGGGTGATCCCCGGAATTACTTCAGAACTTATCATGAGGAGTACGAAATGTTCACACGCACCCCTGATATCAAAGACATCATAACCTCCCTGACCATCCGGTAACAGAGCCCAGTTCGGCCCCGACGGGTCATCTGAAACCATTTCTCCCACCTCTGACACAGTGAAATACTTGATCGGCCGTCGACCGCCAGCGTTTCTTGAGCCACGATCATAACCACCCGCAACTTGGCCCCGACCGCTTTCCGACGCCCCCTGAACCAGCGGAAATCCAGTCGACGGCACATACGCCCCCAGCACATACTGACGAACTGGCTCATCACTATACTCGGGAAACTCAAAATCCCAATCCAACCACTCGTCATCAGCCTTCTCAAACACCGCCTGTCGAAAAAGCACCGCCAACTGCCTCTCCACCTCCACCGCCAGCGGCAACGGCAGCGGCTCGACCCTCTCCCACTGCTGCTTCACCTCCAGCGCCCTCTCCAACAACCACAACCAATTCCAGCACCCGCACCTCTCCCCCATCCTTTCCCTTCCCATCACCCCCCGTCACCTTCCCCTTTTCCCCACGCCGACCTGGCATCCCACCCACCGGTCCCAACCCATCCCACACCCTCATCTTCTCTCCAACCACCAGCAGCCACCGCCTCCCAACCGGGCACCACACCCCCCAACCTT